AGCTGTCAAATAAAGACAGCTTTAATATTCAGTAACATTCTTTGTTCTCATTATCACAACGTTATTAAAATGACTTATTTTTCAGTAACAGAAGATGTATTATTATCTCAAAGCATCCAGGAATGTTCATAAACTGCATAGGATTTCACCCACAGATAGGAAATAAGTACTCTTGCTTATCTGATTAAGGAATAGGGACAAAATACAAGCTGCTTTAGGGTTTTACTATAAAGCTTTCATGTGTAAAAGACCTCCTACATTCCCAAAGCTAAACATCCCACAATGTTGAAGGATATTTCTTGGTTCTGAGGCTGTTTTCACTCAAAGTATACTAGGTAAAGGAGTATCTTTCTTTTAATGTCACTTTCAAATAAAAGTGTGTTAGTTACTTTTCTTATTGTTGAGACAAAATATCTAATAACCACAAGTTAAGGGAGGAAATGTTTATTTGGGTTAAAATATGTAGCAGTTTCAGTCCATAAGTGACTGACTCCAAGGAAGGGAGTTACATAGCAGAGAGACAACAGTTCATGGCAGACAGAAGTTAGCAAGGCAATAAGGTCCAAGACAAGTCTCTTTCTGCCCCTTATCCAGGCTACAAGGGTTAGAGGAATGACAAATCAATCAGCAGACTGAATTAGTAATCATCCACCCTTAATCCTAGCATTGCAACATAAATCAATCACATAAGCTAGATTCAATCACCTTCGATAAAGCCTCATTGGTGACTATATGAAGCTTTGAGGAGACATCTGAATATGTCATAACAAAAGGACATATGATTATTTGAAGCATTTCATAGAAACCCAATACAGTGTCTTAAAAATACATAGTCTAGATGTGAGCAAGTTGGTGGCATATACCATAGTCCCCATTCCTGCTTTGGAAGCTACTGTGGGGCATGCTTGAGTATACTTTAAAAGAGCCTATGTGGCCAGGGTATTGTTCAGTGGCAGAAGTGTCTGCTTGGTAAGTGTGAGGTCAGGAGTTTGATCTCTGGTACCAAAAAAAAAAAAAAAAAAAAAAAAAACAAAAGGATCCTAGGCAACATAGCAAGATCCTGTCTCAAAAGATCCATAAGGGGCTGGGAATTTAGCTCAGTGGCATAAGCACCTGCCTTGTGAGCAGGCGGTCGTGAGTTCAATCCCTGTTACCGGTAAAAAAAAAAAAAAAAAAAAAAAGTCCATAATATTTTAGGGACTATCTTAAAATATTTTGCACATATGTATGAGGAAGTAGGTAAATATGTTCCATTTATATTCAATAAATATATATAGATTATTTTTAGAAAACTCTAAGAAACCTAGCACAGCTCAGATCACTCAAATATTGTGGAATAAAAGAAAAATGTTCCACTGATGTTGACTCATTTTCCAAACCAAACCATTACTTGCTTCTATTAGTAATTCATTATTCCTAGAAAAGGCACATTTAGCAGAAAAACATCAAAAGTTTTCAAATGTTTGGAGCAGTACTTACATTCTCCTTATATTTTTAAACTATTTTTGTTGCATATTTGAAATGATATAGAAACACCAGGAAGGATTTGAGTTATCAGAAACTAGAATTTGGATACACTCTGAATATTTTTCAGTGGGTACACTCTTAAATTTGATTGCTACTGTGTAATTTCCTGTGGAAGAACATTCCAAATTGCATTACTTTCTTTAGTTTCTCAGAAAATTTTGGTTAAAAATCAAATGCTATTTGTTGAAGTTAACTCAAAGAATTTACTGTAATTCTAGTTCATCTTCAATCTAAGACATTACTACAAAATATAACACATTTGTCTCAATTTGCACAACTGAAATAACTTTTTCCAATGAAAAATAGTTCCATGTACTTATAATACAATCTAATAAATTTCACTTATATATTCACAAACATATAGACCAAAAATGTAAAACTAAAAACAGAAATTCTCAAATTGAATGGGAGATTTTGGCATAGACTTAAGAAATGCTTATTCACATCGAGAGGCAACCCCAACTTTACATGAGGAGTTTTCTGGCCATTGAAAGTAATTTAAAGAATTTCTAGTATTGCAAAATAAGTAAACATGATACCTGAAAAGCAGTGTCCCATACTTTTTAACTAGAATGTAATTCAATGCTCTAAATTGACTTCTCTAGAGGAAAATCAATAAATATCATAGCCTTTTATAATCCAAAGAAATAAGATAAGTGATACAGAGTAGAAAAAATTATAAAAGAAAGAAAATTAGAATTCCGATCACTGGCAATAAATTTTAGGTCTAAAAGCTCACTTCTCTAATTATTGCATAAAAGATGTGTAAACATAGGCCACAGCTTTATTTAAACTTGATCATGACATTGCAGAGGATGATAAGACATGGCAAACAAGGCAGGTTCTAATTCTGACTCTGGCATCCTCTACCTGTGATACCTGGTATAGTTTGTTTATCTCTGCAGAGCTTTGGTGTTAATAGTAACACCTTCCCTATTGATTAAATTTGTTGAGAGAATCTAGACAGTGAAGACAAAGGGGAAAATAGAAAAGGAGAGAGAGAAGGAGAGATGGAGGAAGAGTGGGAGTAAAGAGGAAAGTCTTAGAAACCAGTCAGACTTGATTCAAAACCAGACTGTGATACATCCAATAAAAGACTTTGCCTAGGTCTTTATCTTTTCATCTACAACACATAGCTGTACATATTCAAAATGTATAGTAATGCTTAAAGGAATTAAATGTTACACATATGCCAAAATTTAATGAACTAGAAGTACTCCATAGATACAGTTAAAATTAATAATCATGTACATGATAAGACTTTGGGTGAATGAAGTGTTTTGCAAATGCAAGTCACTAACACCTTATACTATTTCCACAAAATTGGGCAATGGGCACTTCTCTCCAAAATAGAACGCTTTCGCATACTTGCTTACACTCTTCTGCTCTTTTCTTTCTTTACTCCTTTTTCCATAAAATCTTTCTTATATCTTCTTTAAAATCCACATTTCTTAGTGTTGACCACCAAAGCAATAATGTCTTCCACTTAGTCAATGCCTCTTTTTGTAGCCAAAGATGATAATTTAATATATTCTTTTATTATTAGAAAATATTTCCATATTCCAGTGGCTTCCTGCTTAGGCTTCCAGATCACTGAAGTCTCATTTCTCACAATACTGCTTATACTGAACTGTGTGTACATCTGTACTGTGGTTGATAAAGTTTCACAATCAAATGTTTATTTTTAAAATGATTACACAGACTTAACCTGTATCCCAATCCTATTAAAAGCATGAGTAAGAACTCCTGAAAACTTTTAAGAATTATACACTGTGAGTGATGTTTAGCAAGAGCCTGAAAACATAGCTAAAGCCTATGCCCTTCTCTGGCACTGCCTGTTACAGTACAGACCATTTGCAGGTTCCCCGTGCCAGTAAAACACTGAAAAGAGGCAGCTTTTGTAATAGGATCATTGGCTAAAATGAAATGAATCAATCTGATCAATAGAAATTGCACATGCAGCAAAGAGCTCTTAATGGATCCTAATCTCCATTAGGCTGAGTTGGAGGAAGCTGGAGGGGAAGCTGCATCACATTTCAGCCATTTATAGTAGCATCGCGGTCATGAGCAGCTCTCAAGGAACCAGAGCATTCGTCCTGGGGTGCTCTGGGACAACCATCAATGGGATGGTAAACTCTTGCATCACTGGTGTCCAGGAAATGCTCTGGGGGATACTCTGGAGAATTGATCTAAGGCTTATGAAAATTTTAGCAGGAATTCATGGTGGGTAACCAGAAAAACATTAGCACATGAAGTTTTTCTGTCATATGTAATTAAATGTGGTTTAGGATCCCTCAGACATGATTTATAAAACCAATAAGAACAGTTTCAATTTTGTTACCAAAAGCCCACAAAGTGGGTGCTCTACAGAGAACAAAGATCAAGTTTTTCAGAAGTGGCATAATTTGTGCATGACATATGAAAATATATATTTAAAAAATCTAGTGTTTGGATGCCCAGAATGTGCAACTAACTGCCTCACAATTTAATATATAATAAGAAAAGCTCTATGTAGAAATTTGAAAGAAAAAGAAAATTGCACACAATTTAGAAGAATGTCCATTGTACATGCACTCAGAAATTATAGCACAATACCTCCTAATTAATGCTGATTGAGGACTTTGATTTCAAAAATTGTAAAACATAATACATGGACATTGCATTATGCATTCACACACCCTCCACACAGAGTCCCCCATGTCAGAGACCAAAATAGAGTAACCAGCACCACAGTTTGTTGTTTTTTCTTAGTTCAAGTAAATCTATCATATAAATGCCAAAATCCAAAATTTAAAAAAAGAAAATGCCCCTGGGCTGTAGCACAAACGTTTGGGGTAATTTATTGGAAATATAAGCATCTTTTTCTATATCACATTCAGAATTTCAAATGCAGCTGCTTTCTTCCTCTAGGATTTTGTAACGCATTTTTTTTAGTATAGAACTTCATTACTACATATAAAAAGGGTTCATATTATCTTGGAAAGTTTCTAGTACATTGTGAATGAATAAATGAACTGTCAACCCCTCGAGAACCAAAACATACTTTTCATCAGTTTATGTCCTTTGGCTAAGACAATGCTATCATGAGAGGAACACACAATAGATTTTTGTTGAATATACACAAAAAACAGCAAGTTCTTTTACATTTGATAGTCTTTCAGTGAGGTATCCAGGAAATGCTACCTATTTTTAAAAAGTCTGAAATGCCTTTAAAGATATGTCAAAACATCACCTTGACATAAAAACTGAAACTAAAGAAAAAAGCATATTACAGCACTGTATCATCTGGAAACTTCCATAATAGAGAATACAATGACATCTATGAACTATTCAGACATGCTACTTTATTTTATTTATTTATGAATTTTAAAAACTCCAAGTTTCAAAGATTGTTTACTTGGATTTTACCACTGGTAAAAATCCATAAGCTAAAATTGACAGTAGAAGAAATTTTTAAAAGTAAGGAGCCTTACCCAGCATAGTGGTGCTTGCCTATAATTCCAGCACCCAGGAGGCTGAGGGAGAAGGATTGCTGAGAGTTCAAGGCCAACCACTCTGGGCTACATAGTGAGTTCAAGGCCAGTCTGAACTGCACAGTGAGTATCTGTCTCAAAAAAAGAAATGTAGCCTATTATATTTCATTCTCTTTGAAACGGAACACAGAAAGTGATTCATGCAAATCAATTATCTATCTCACAAGGATTATATACTAACTTACATTTTTAAGAATCTTGTTCTGTTGTAGTCAGGGGTTGTGTGGAGAACAACTAGTATCAGGACATGGAGTTTACAGTATTATTTTTATAATGGTTACCAGGAGTTAACACAAGAAAATGCAGGAAATCTATCAGCAACACCAAAAACATAGAATATTTAGTCAAGCGCCTAAATCCCACAGCAATGTCTCACATGAGTCCAGATGAAAACCCAGAGCTCATGACAATGTCTCCCACAAGTCCAACTGGAGGTCCAGAGCCCACAAGAATGACTCACGTCAGTCTCTTTTATGGATCTGTGCCAGGAAGGGCCAAAGATCAGCAGTGGAAGCCAAAAAGTCGATGCTAGAGAGGTGAAGGAGCTGTGCTGGTGGGATGAGGGTTCTACACTGGAGCCGAGCAACCACACTCACAACAAGACCAACGCTATCCTGAAAGGCACCACAGTAATCCTCAGCAACACGGAGACCCCAGCTCCTCCAATGACAAACACAGTTGGTTACATGTCAGGAAGCCAGCGTGACAAGTTCATCCTGGAGACCAAGCGGCACATGTCTTCCCCTCTGGAGCCAGGAAGCAAAGCTCAATGTGAGGACCAAAGCTTCTCCAGGAGAACCAACAGCTCAAACAGCAACTCGTAGGAGAACCCATAATGCCTTAATGCCTCAACGCAACGATGCATTAACGCCTTCCTTCTCCTTCTCCACCTATTATGCTGGCAACTTTCCTCAGGTGGAGCATCTTCACTCAGTGCCATGCTGATGTAATCCACCAGTTCTTAATCCATAACATGTTCCTATGCATCAATTTTTCTACCATAACACTTTTGAAGTACAAATTTAGGTGAAATGCCTAGCATACAGTAGAAACTCAACATATTTTGCTCAGGTAATAAATGATTAATCTTCTCTCAAAAAAAATAATGGAAAGAAGCATCGAGTCTTCTTATGATATCACAGAGTAAATAATTTTTCCTTCCCAATACATAAGACAGACTTTCTTTGAATTTTGTAAATATGCCTCTGACTTGGATTATCAGAAGGCCTTTATCTTCATCCAACAATCTGCAAAACTGTCTTTAATCATCTGGGAGTTAAGGGAACATAAGAAAGTTGGTAATGCATTTTAATGACATTATACATTTCTAATAAGTTATATTTAAATTATCTTATTTATCACGAAAATATGGATGTTAAGTCAAGGGAAAAATTTCCAACTCTTAATTTACTCTACTTGGTTTGATAGTGCTTAACTGATCCTGTCTGTTGTGAAATTTTCTTCTTTATCTATAACCTTATCCTTGAACAGTCTTAAATCAGCTTTCTCGCACAGTTACATTGGAGAAGAAAAAAAGAGAATTTGCCACTATGTGCCTCTGACAAATAAATGTTGTTTACATACTAACAAATATAAATTTTACTTACATCATTAAAAGAACTTCTTACCAACAATTTATTTTAGTTTTAAAAAATTCTATAGTACGACAGTTATAAAGACTCCCAGGGGAAGGTTTTGGTCTCAGCTGTGAGAAGCAACTAAGTGCAGATACTGAAACAGTGCCTGACTTTTGCGAAAGGCATCTGGAAGCACTTGTCTGTGCTGTCTTTATCAATGAGTGGATGAATTAATTCATGTAGCCATCACAGAGTCTGCATTTGTCAGTTCCAGGAACTGGCCCAGCTGGGAGCTGGGACTCTATCCACTCTAAAATATCTGCTCTGCCATTTCGTATGGAAAATGATGGCCTCAGGAGAAGGTCTCATATCGAAGAATCTCTTGAGTTTATCTTAAGTAAAATATTTTTGAATTACATACTCTAACTCTAGAAGCATAATGCTAAGAATAGTATAAAACAAAATGTTTTCCAAAAGAAAAAAATATATATTAAACTGATGAGTCTATTAAAATATTGAACATTCTTTCTGAACAACATGGCAGACTAATTCTGAACAAAGTTAGACCACAACTTTGTATACAAAAGAATTAACTTTACAAGAAGTAATAGAATTGCAGGCATAATTTTCTCCCCATGACTAGTTTTATAGTATGTTTAATTCCATGAAGTCAAAGTAATTTAAGATAGTTTACAAGATGCACTAATCTAGTACAGTGGCAATATTAATAGTGGTTATGAATTGAGAGACTCTGAAGTTAGGTAGCCCTGGTTTGAATTCATCATTCTCTACGTGCTAGCTACACAACTGTTTCCATTTTTCAATTTTCCACCTGTAAAATGAGTATAACAATAGAAAGTATACTTTCTAAGTTAAGGAAATTTAAAATTGCATGAACATATTATAAAGCCCTTAAGACAATACCTGATGGAATATATATTAATCAAATTTGTTTCATGTTATTGTAAACAATAATGTCTATGAATACAAATTACAACATCATGATATTAGAGGCTCATCTACATCAAAAGTAAAACTAAAATCAGACACAACAAAAATATGCACTTAATACATTTATATGAAAATGTAAATGTAAGCATAACTATGATTATGTCCTAATTTCTTCCTATTAATTTACATCAAAAATGTGATGTGGCCAAATAGAGAAGGAGTAAATCAAATACCTGACTTATCCTTGCCTACACATGTACCCATATATTACAGGGGAAAATATTTCTTTTGAAAATTCTGTCAGAATGTTTTAATTAACATAAAAATCAACTTACTTCCTAGTTATTTTCAGGAAATGCAAATCAGTATCAAATATGAAGCATAAAAGCAAACTCATTGAATTAAAAGGCATTTCCCAACATTAATCGCATTTCTATTAACTTAATCAATTTTAACTTATTCTACACAATGCATCAGTTCTTTCAAATACAAGGGAATGTCATTTACAGTTAATTTTATTTTGTCTAGCTCATCAGGATGCATCTTGAGAAAAACGATGATCTACTGGTAATAAATGCCATTAAAATTGTTTCAAACCAAACAAACTTTTGTATGCTATGTAATAATTCAGAACTCTTGCATCTCGGCAAATGCTTGAGAAGACATAGAGTTTTTCCTTGAGAGAGTTACTACCTTTGCTGTAGGTATCCCAGCTGTCATGGCTCGTGCTGAAACAGTGAGCCTTTTGTCTAGGAAAGAATAAGAACTAGTGTTCTTAAATAACCAAACCAGAAAGTCATTTTGCTCTCCACATATTTGATACATGAAATATATGGTTCTAAATTTACCACAGGAGCACAGAACAACTGCTCTAGATTTGGTGCAAATGATCATGTTCTGTGAACTAAAACCTCACAATGGATTTCTCAAGATGTTTGACACTGAAGATTACACCAACTTTGTACTTGACACTAGATTTTATCCCTATATTAAGGAAACTTATCAAAAAGGAAATTACTGAGCCCCTGATGATTAATTTAACAGTCTGCTAAATTACAATTTCTTATAATGGCCTAAAATTTATAGGTCAAAAAAGTATCCTTTTGAACATTTGAAAAACCATAATTGAATGAAAATTTATGTTATCCAAAGTACTTGAAAAATGCACATGCATAATAAAAATGTTCCTTTAATTTAGTGCTAAAAAAGTGTCTCTTTATGAATCTATCATATATATTTCTTTGATCACCCAATGAAAGTTATATATCCCAAGTGTTTCCTTTGTGTCTTTATTGTTAAGAAACAATGATGTAATCTATGTACAGTGCTAGGGCAGGGCACAGTAAGGCACTGAGTTATAGTCAGGTCCTATTGTTAGCTTTTATTAAGAATCATATCTTAAATGCCAGATGACATTTTTTCATCTGTTTTTAGAGATGTCTCTTGTCTAATTTTAAACTTTTTTAAATTATTCTGCTTCTCTTTATTTAACTGCATAAGTAACCTCAAAAAATGCTAATTTCAAACCAAAAGGTTTAAAACAAATATTAACTCAATGATATTTGTGATACCAATAATAGCAGGGAAGTTTGTGTCAGACTAGTCAATGAGAAATGATGACAAAAGTATAAATGTGACTGTGATTAAGTATATTAATTTTCCTACTGCAATGGGAAAGTTTACCCAAACTTAATATATAACCATATTTTAAATTTATAGTTACACATAGTAAAAAATTACAGTATGTCAAACTATTTGAGAGCTGTGAAGAAAGCCTAGTCTAACAAATAAAATGTTTGAACTACAAAATATGTAGTTAATGTAGTTGTATATCTTTAAAGAATATGAAGATAAAAGTCAAGTGAGTTCTAGTGGAGCATAGTGACAGGCCAAACGAGGCCACAGCTACAGGGAGTGAAAGCCAAATGCACAAACTGACCAGCTGTGCATAGGTACGAAATGCCGAGGCTCCTTCCTTTGGACTCACGGAGGCCACTGCAGACAGACAGAGTAGCATAAGGCCTGCTGGACTGAAATGGAGACATTTTTATATTTCTGCAACAGGCGGTGTGTCTAGGCTGAGAATACAACCTTTAGAAGAACTATTATATGAACTATTCATAATTTTGCTTCTACTCTAATCATAATAAATAGTTCTGAAATCATGCACCATTGAAACAGATAGAAAGTCCATGAACCGCACAGCTAGGACTTTAATTTTGTATTTGAGGAAACTGAAGTTCTGAAAGATCAGCTGAGATTGCACACCTGGTCAGTGAAATAGCCAATACTTAACCTCAGGGCCTGCTAATGCTCAGCTCACTTCTTAGTGCTCTGCTGTCCTTCAAGCCCTGGGTGGACAAATGTCTTCATTTGTTTTTCACTATACTAGTAGTAAGATTGAAAATTTCAGATCCCAAGAATACCAGTAAAAATTTCATATCCCCAAAATATCCTCAACTGCAAACAAACCAGGATGGTCAGCCAATATAACAGAAATGTGAATTATTCACTTCCCACAACTTGTAAAATGTTATCATTGCAAAACTTTGCCATACAATAGGCTTGTCAAAAAAACTTCAGAATAAGGAGTAACCTTAGTAATAAGAAACGGTTTTTCTAGCATCTTACTAAAAGAGATGAGTATAAATATCTGTCTGTTTTCCTATTCAATGTGTGATTATAATACCTGATTTTTGTCTAAAGTTATGTTACCAATCCTACCACTGCAACACCACCATCATATTAGGACAACCAGATTACTGGTAATGTCTGAAGAGGGTCTCTGTTCCCCAAGACCAACCGTAACCCAAAAAAATATCTCAAAATGAAAAGGCAGAGGGGATTTGACACAAGCCAATTCTGCTTCTGACCAGTTGTCCAAAAAGAGCATGACTTTTCCCAAAACCATCCATCAACACCACACAAACTTCACAGAAATTTGCTGCCTTCCAAAGTTACCAGGTAGCAAAAAGTAATTCCATTTGAACATTTCACTTGGAACACCCAAAAAAGAAAATGCAAAAATCATTTTTCTTTCCTTAGGGAAAAATCAAACACAACTTCTAGAAAAGAAAATGCTGCTGTTATTCAGCAGCAGTGGACTCTCATACAAAAGAGTCCAATTTCCATCCTGGGGCCAAAATCTTTCCAGAGGCTAACTCCTCCACTCCAGCTTTGACCTGGCACTTGTCTTCCCTGGCAGCCCAGCCTCCTTTTCCTCATAGTCACTACCTTCACAGGCAAAGCCCTGAAGCCACACAGGCAAGTCTGAGGATGTGAGATTTAGTTTCCAGACTCAATATGTACATTATCAGACATTTTCAGACATTTTCAGAGAATCAAATTCCAAATCAAGCTTCCCTGGTTTAGAAAGGAAAGAAAGAAAGAAAGAAAGAAAGAAAGAAAGAAAGAAAGAAAGAAAGAAAGAAAGAAAGAAAGAAAGAAAGAAAGGAGAAAGGAAGGGAGAAAAAAGGAAAAAGAAAGGAAAGGAAAGGAAAGGAAAGGAAAGGAAAGGAAAGGAAAGGAAAGGAAAGGGGAAAAAAGGAAAAGAAAAAAGAGGAAAGGAATGGAGGGAAAGAAGGAAGGACAAAAAAAGAGAGATGCTTCCTAAAATGATAGACAATCCTGCTTTCCTGATCCCTTAAATCAACATCTCACAGGAAAAGGATCTTTTTAACAAACACATGCATTGCTCACTCCTTTGTCTCTCTTCCCTCTTTGATTTTAGTCTGAAATTGTGAAGAAACGTTTTAGCAAAATTCCATTAAGACTAAAGAAACTACAGTATCTTATTTTTTCTTAGTTTTTTATTAACTCTTTAAGTCTGCACAGAGCTAAAAGGAAAACAGTCTTTCATATAAAAATTGTTTCTTTAGAAAATCTTGCGGTTCCTAGGAACTGTCAGTTATGATACAGCCCATGTTATGTAGCTTCTTTTAAATTCTCTATTTAGAAAGTTAGAGAAATTCCACAGAACACTAATGGCATGGGTGTCCTGGATAAAAATAACATAAATTATAAGTAATGCGTGTTCTGTGGCTTGGAAAGATAAAATTATAATTTCAATCACAAGTAATCTCTAGTTCCATTCCCCCAGATCATAGTAAATCTCCCTTGTGAACACTTGCACGTCTGAGCCTTACCAATTGAATTACAGTTCCAGAGGCTGCCTGCCGATACTAGTTTTGCAGACTTCCTTTTCCACTCAGCATACAGTGTGATTTTCTAAAACTGCTTGTTTACTTTTCTGTTGCGGTTGCTGGGTATTTATTTGATTTTGTTTTGTTTTAGGAAGTCTCTTTGGAAGGAACGCTGAATTTAAAACTTGAAATCTTGCATTTGAAACCTTCTTCCACTAATTCCTTGAAATTGAACAATTTCCTAATCTTTTCTGCACAGCAGTTTCCTATCTAGAAAATGACAATAATGACACAATTACATAGGTTTATTGGAAAATTACTATAGTACAGTAAAAGTGCTGGCATGCAGTAGTGTGTAGATAGTCACAGAAGGTAAAAAAAAAAAAAAAAGGAACAATCACCTGAAAACAAAAAAAAGTTTTGTGCCTATCACCGTAAAATGAAGACAGAGCAGGGGTAAAGAATGAGACCTTGGCCTTAAATAAATTGAAATCTCTAAATAGCTGACAATCTTGTATGTCTATAAGGCACTACATGGTCTGATATCCCCTTTTAACATGCATTATTATATTTAAATCTCATAACAACCATACGATAAATATTAGGATAGCCATTTTGCAGATGAGCAAAATAATGCTTTAAAAATGTAAGCAGATTCCCCAATGCTACATAACACGTAAGGGGAATAGCTGAGACTGGAGCACAAACATGCCTGTCTTCAGAGCTGTCAGAGTAAGCCTGAGGACTCTTCAAACACACCCACACATGCAAGCACACACACACATATGCACAGAACTAACCATCTTTAAGAAAACTCTTGACTCCTATTCAGGATTCAGAGGGTTAAAGAGAAGAAGACAAAATAGCATAAACAGCTGGCTCCAAGGTGCTAGTTGCTCTTCTGTGATGCCATTTTCCTTTGCTCTGCAGCTGTAGCATAAAGTTTTTGTTCTCCCAAGAAAATACTGAACTGAAAAGATAATTGGTATTCAAGACACACATGTTTTCTACCAGCAAATAAGAAGAAAGCACAACAGTATTCTTGAAGGATGCTGACTTTTTGTGTTTTGCAATTCTGCATTTTCAAAAATGACATCTGTTTTGTGAGTGACTAAAAACTCTGGGGGAAGAATTTGTAAAAGGAAGTAAAATTGTGTTTCTGAGCACTTTATTTCTTAGTGTATTCAAATGATATTTGTTTAGCTGGCCCATTTTCCCAGAAATATTGTCAAGGCAGAAGTTTTTCTCTTTCCTGCCCACACTTCTGACAGGTTTGAAATAATGTTCTGGTGGCAGATGTTTTAAAGTTTCTTTGCACTCTTCTCCCATGTATCAAATCATCTTTCTTTTGAGCACTCAAAATATTATGACTTTTAGGAGCATAAATGAATATAATATATCCCATTAATATTATGCTTTTCTAGGAGGATCTCAAAGTATTTTACTGTCTTCACTTTTCCAGGCTGTTTATTTTTTTTGCTGGGGCATCAACAAATACAAAAGTTTAGGAGAGCCATTTCTTTTTCATTCCCATCTCTTTGATTTATCACTTCCTATTCCATAAATTTCCACTCTCTACTTCACACAAATAAAAAGGTGTAGTAATTCATGTACCTTGTCAACCAAAGCCCAGTTTTAGAGATGGATGAATATTAAGTAAGGTCACCTGAGGGAGTCCTTTCTGCCATGGGGCCACTTCTGCTTGAATCCTCAGTTTCTCAGATCAGTCCTGGTCATTCTGCATGAATCCCCTTGTCATTCCAGTTTCAAAGTTACAATTTGAAGAGTCAGCACTCTTCAAGGTAACACAGCTCTTAGACTTAAGGTGCGCACATTTATTGCTTTGCCTTAGCCCAAAATTTATGGAACCATACATCATGCAGAAATGAACCCTAATGAATATGTGGGAACTTTCACAAGGCAGAAATCTCCCAAGTTGTCCTGATGATTTAGTGCTCACTTATCTCATAATTCATAAACCACAAGCCATGTTTGTTTAATACATCTTCCCTGAAATTATGTATATAGTATAGATAAATATAATTTTTCTTATGATATCTTAGTCATGTTCAATTCAACTCTGGTTTTTAGCTATTGACCAGCCAAGACACCATGAATGTTTCAATGTTTTCTTCACTGCAAAGTTTCTGGCCTATTGGATGTCTATTGATTTACGTCTCCTCTTTAGAAACACATAGTAAGTAAAATTTCCCAGACTGATTTGTATACTGGATAGCTATTATCATTATAAGCCTGGAAACAATATAATCATAGATAATTGTGCTAAGGAAAAAGTAATATAACTCATTCTTGGCTCATTCATAGGAGTCAAAGTTCTCATCAGAAAACCTCAAAAGAAGGATATCACCAAGTGTTGTTCACAGAAACCAAACTTTAAATATAAGTAAAACACCAAGTGTCTCAGGAAACTGATAGGCTGAACAGTATAATCTCCAATCAGGAGGTAGATTCAGCCTCAGCTGATCCCAGTGCTAGACAACAAACCAGTTACAAACACCAGACCCATCCACTTCCCTGACTGCATGAGGCTTGGGCGGGGGGCATTTAAACAAACCACACAGTGACAATGTGCCATTTACTATAACTTCAACAGCCACTGTAGTTTTCCATCATACTTCATAGATGGAAAAGAAGAAGAAAAAACATTCTGGCCAAAAACAGTGGTTGGATCAAATTCAGAATAAGATACTTAGCAATCTAAAAATTATGAATGAGTAAGTGTGAGAAAGGAGCTGGTTTCTTCAACAGGCATCACCTTAGTAATTATAATGACAGGGAATATAAAATCATACATTGATAAACATTACTCCCCAATCTAGTTCTCAAAGGACTTCATCAGAAGTATTTAATAATAGTAAAATATCTCTTTTATTTTGGCATTCCATGGGACAGATGTTTGCTTCACATTCCTGAGTGACTGTTCCAAAATAGAAACCATTCATGCGGCTTCTTAGTTTGTAATTCACATCCATCAGGGCCATCTCGTTGCCTAGAATATAGTGCCTGAGTCTTTCACACAGCATTCACGATCCCCTTGTTCTTGCCTGTCGTCTCAATGCTCATACTATGACTTCTGGTGATGTTCAAATCTATTCTTCTGCTTCTTAGAATTATTATTATAAGATATTAAAGTTTAAGACATATTGAAAAAGCTTCTTCTGAGAATATACAATGAAATAAGATTTTTGTTCTAAAAGAAATGTAAGATCAATAAAGTTGTTGAGTGAAATCCCAAAATGTTTTTCCATTATCTGTGGAATGTTATCTCATAAATACAGTTTCACAAAAATTAGTTCAAAGTTTGAGGAAATATTAACAGATATCCCATGAAATGATAAGAGTACAGAAGCAAAACATACCCTAATCCCCACTGTTAGTAAATGTATATATACATATTATATTATATATATATATATATATATATATATATATATATATCCCCACACAGGCATTCACAGTCATATGTAAACACACACACACACACACACACACACACACACACACACACAGATGTCTCATACCACTGGAGGGCACACTGGAATCTGTACATCACCAAAATATTCAGTGATAAAGACATTTTCTTCTTGGCACATTAAAGAGAGAAACTGAGACCAGACAGCTAGGAAGATAAGACATACTCTTCCTTCAGGAGCACATGCTGCTTTGGCAAACACAAATATCACTCATTCACACATACATGTACTCAAGCCAGTGCATAATTCTCTTGACAACTCCAACTTATAACATTAGCATATGAATGCTGAGGCTTACAGTGATATTCACCCACCAAATGGAGTTTATAATGTAAACGCAATGAGAAGTAGCTGAAAGATTGCTCTTCACCCTGAACCCAGACTGACGGAGCCTGTATATGAGACACATGTCATATCTGTAGAGAACTCAGTGTAAATATATTCTTCCTACATACATTCATGAGGAAAAGCTGAGATGGTTAGGACAGTACTAAATTTATACTTCCTTCTGAAATAATGCATAAAATAAATGGCTCCAACTTCCCAGCCTTATTCATGTATATCTTTTCCTGTTTCCAATATTTCACATATATTAGGCCAAATGTGATTTTTTTCAAGGATTTTTTATCTTCATTTTGTTTTGGTTTGATGTCCTTTTCCTAGCTGCCAAGCATTATCCACAATGCCAGGGAAAAGATTGTAGAATTGTATCCATAATCTACTCAAAAGCCAGAATTCTTAATATATATATATATGACATATTTTTCCCAGTACATTATAAGCTCCTTAAAAGTAGATCAGTGTGTTCACCTTTAGAGTCATGCTGTTTTTAAAGTCATCCATCTAAGGAAGCAATAATTTATGATGTCACACGATTCCCCTGGACTCACACACGTGACTCCATGCAGGGAAAACGTCTAGCAGACAGGCAGTTTCCAGCTTCACGCCAAGTCTGGCAGTTTTGTAGCTGCTGGTGCTAAGATGAAGTTCCTCCACCGTGTTCTATGAGGCCTTTCCTCGGCTGGCCTGACAGCTTTCTTCTACTGCAGCCCCAGAAGAAATCAAGTCCTGTTATAATACCTCTCACACAATACCATTTCCACCAAGTCTTGTTGATCAAAGCAATTCAGAGGCCAGTCCAGGTACAGGTGGGTAAAATAGGTGCCATCTTAGGGTGGAGGGATTGGCAAGGTCACCCTGTAAGGAGGCATGCATCCAGGGATAAGGGGCTGGCTGAGGTCATCTTACAATTTATATTTAGGAAAATCGAAACAAACATGCTTTTGGATATTTCATTCATTCGTTTATTTATTCATTCATTTAATAAACACTTACCAAGCGCTTACAGTGTAACTGAGTACCATGTTAGGGTCTGGATAAAAGAGCAAGCAAGAAGGCAGAATGAATTCTTGATTGTGCAATTTGTAAAGATTTAAATGAACAAGTGAAGCAAAGGACAGGCAGTGGGCAGGACCCACAGAAATAAGAGTTTACATTCCAGGCACCTGTATTAAAAATTTACTATATGCTTTTAAATTTCCGAACCACTTGTTGAAGTTGTGAGATAAAAGTCAGGATAATTATTTAGAAACAAATCCCATGGAGTTGGGGCTGGAGCAGAGAATTTCTATTAAAGGCAGTTCTGAGGAATTTGAGGAGAATTGATTGAAAAGACTATATGTAGTTCTAGGGGCAAAATTAAAGAAAGTAACAAGATATTAGGTCCCATGGACAAGCAACAGCAGGAAGCCATTACCTAAGCATGATTAATGCAAAAAGGAAATGTTTTTGCTAGAGTTAGAGGAAGGTTGGAGCTGACACAGTGCCCTTAACAAGACACATAGTTGTGAAGGTAATCACTAACAAAAAAGCAGTTGCAAAACAGACGAGATGGAGCAACCCATGTTTGTGTACCCTCCTGCCCTTTCATCGCCTGCCTGCCTTCATTGGTCATCCCCAACCAGTAGCGAAGGATGTGGTCTTCCACCACCACTACACCCAGCATATTATAGTTTGGCCAAGTTATAATGGGAAAAATATAAGAGTACTGTGTATGGGAGCAGCTAGAACTCAAGAGTTATGGAAGACAATGGAGTCACTGCTAAACACTTGAGCTTGAGATGTCTACAGCTTGTCTGGATTTTTCAGAATGTAACTGAAACTGTGAATGTGGAGTTGGGAGGGAGGGTAGGAGAGAGAAAGACAAAAGAATACAGTGGAAAATAAAGATGCAGAAATCACCAATTTAAAATAGTTGCTAAAGTCATAAGAATTCACAAGTGGCCAAAAAAAAAAAAACATACAAAGCAACAAAAGAACAGAGTTCTTTTAGACTTATAGATGGGGAAATGGTAACTGAGACAAGGAAGTGAATTGATTTAGAAAAGTCCCTAAAAGGAGTGAAATCTGCAAGTTAAAAGCAAATAAAATGTTTTATGAAATTAATGA